ATTACAAGACTTAAGATTATGCCACATGTTAATTTTTTTTAAATGGTTGGATGAAATTGAGCTACATTAGATATGCTGTTCTAGGGTCCTTAATAGAGCAGATGCCACATAAACAAAGAAAGAGGCTGAAGAGATGAGATTTATCCTTTAGTTGCTTATTTGAGTCATGGTGGAATTGTTTTAGTTGGTTTTAGGAGTTTGTTTCAATTAAGACCGTGAGCTGGCAGATAACAGGGATAGGTGGCTAAATTTGGATGGAGATTTGACTTAGTCTACTATTGAGGTATCCATCTTCTTTTAGAAACAACCCACATTGGAGTAACCGCCTGGTAGTGAGGAGTTGCAAGCAGGGAGGAGACAAACAGAAGGAAAATTTTTTATTATTCAACATATGACCAGCCTTACATACAACTCATCAAATTTTCAATTCTCTAGTTTCATAGCGATTGCTCAATCTAGCTTATAGATTTTAGTTTTTAGCATAGATCCTAGTAAATTTAAGTTATTTTCAATGTTCAAGTAGCCACATTAGTTTGTGTAATAGCTTATACAATTTCCTTTCATATAATGAACATCAAGCTTTTCAATTTCTGCAAGACACTTTTTTTTTTTTAGTGGTATTAGTCTAATATTTATGATAGATAGTGTTTTTCCATATAGTTACTCATATGGCATTCATGATTCTTCTTAATATTTAACATGTTAGTTTAACCCCTGTTCATATTAGATTCATGATTATTTAGGGTTAAAATCTTCAGTTTTGTAGTAGTTTGATTTCTAAATTTGTATGTAGATAGTGGTTTAATTTGATAATGAAGATACTTAGTTTAACTTGGGTGCATATTTTATTTGTAAGTTTATTTTAATTTGCATATCATTTACTTTATTTAAAATTTGTTAACTTTAATTCACCATAGTGTTTAAGTTCTTATAGCTATTCAATGCAAATTTAACAACCCATTCTATGGAAAGGCATCACTTTTTCTTACAAATCGTTTGAAAGTGCAAAATTCAATTTTAAATTAACATTCTTCCAACCATCTTGAGGAAAGAAATGATTGTTAGGAAAGAAATGATTGTTAGGAAAATTTTCCTTTCTTATTTTACGTGACATGCCCATATTTAAATTCTATACATGCGGCATGCTTGAGGATTTTTGAACAACCACCTTTTAATAAATATTTTAAAAAACTAACAATTAGATTTAATGTTTTATTAATATAGATTATGTATGTCAAATTTTAAATTTATAGAATATATATAACTAATTTATTGATTATAAAAATCTATCACCATTTAATATATATTAAAAATACAAGTTTTTTATTAAATTATTATAGATGTTAAATTAACTTGAAAATTAAAATATATAATTTATATCAATAAAATATTAAATTTAATAATTATTTTAAAATATTTATTAAAAATAATATTTTTAGTTTTTATTTTATTTTATTTTTTAAAAAAGTTCTCTTATAATTTTTCTTTTATTGGGTCCACTTAACAATTTTTTCTATATTAATTTTTTATCAAACACAATAAAATTATTTTTAAAGTAAAAAAGAAGATGTTTTACCTTTTTTCTCATAATATTTAATTAAAATAACATAATTTTAAAGTACTTTTTCACCTAATTTTTTACAGATTCAACTAATAAATATTAATTTCTAACAAAATTTTAATAAGACCTTATCATAA